TAATACCATTTAAATGTGAATAACATTTAAATAACTTAGACAACATTTTAAACATGAGGAACATTTTGATATAAGTATTTCTCACTGTATTCTTGGCAGCGCCATCATTTCAAAGTTTAAAAGTTAATAATGGTTTATTCTTCATTTAATTTTATTTGTGTTAGTCTAGCCCAGTAGCACACGTATATTGGTTTGCGTTTAATTACCTGATTTGTGTTTGTGGTTTGTGTCTTGTTCGATGAAATTAAATGTTTCTTGTTATTAATTCCAACACGAGAAATGACTTTTGTTTAAATTAATGTCGAGAAATTATCTTTTAACCATAGACTTAAGTACTATTAAAATTTTAAGCTTATCGTAGTTAAATCATGCGACTCCTTATACGACATTTAATGACTTTGTCGTTTAGATACAAGTCTATCTAAACTAGTAGTTAGTTGATCATTAAGCAAAGTATTCGGAACTCTGCTACGGATCAAATGTTTCCAGAATGCCCATTTCCGAGACCTGAACGAGCAATCCTTCGATTAAAAAAAATTTCAAGAAAAACAAGGTCCAAAAAAACAAACTAGGAATTCTTCAGTTTTTATTGTTAATTAACCGCGCAATAAGTAACCATGTAATCTATACTTAAGTTCTGAAATAAAAGCAGTTTGAGAAATTCAGAAACTACGAATGAGTCAACGAAATCCATTGCGCTCAAACGAAGATACGGATCAATGCTAATAGTACCGAAATCACAATTTTCAGCAAAGTTCATTAGCCAGGCAGTTGTCTGATTGCCTAAGAATCGTAGACAAATGATATATGCTTCAATATGTTATTGAGACTGAAATGTTAGGAAAGTTACCATATAATTTTATTTCCATTTTTCAAAATCCATTACCGGATGTAAGTTCAATGGTAATCACCAATGCTTCCGACTTCGCAGAATATTCTTATTATTCATAAATGCATGAGTTATCCGATCATGAAAAACTGGTCAAAAATGTCTTTACGCTATCATTTTATTTGAATAGTTTTTAGCTCGTTGAATAGTTAAAAAAAGTATCGAATTTGAAGTTTTAAATGCAAAATAATATTTTTAAACAAATCTCAAAATTTGTTATATTAAAAAAATTTTCTTTGCAGAGATTAGAATACTTCGGGTTTTATAGAAAGTTTCCCGCCACCTCAAATATTCTTTGCCCAAACAGTTTGCGTTGGCGTGTTTAATTATATTCTGTCGAACGAGTTTTCGTATTTGAAAGAAAAACTTGCTTTGTGAAATTTGTAAAAAAAAAAAGTATCGTTATCATTAAGTACAAGGTGTCTGAAATGGAACTATCAAGCTACCAGATTAGAACTATCATTTAATTCCAGTTTTGTTGCAGAACGCCAGCTTTAGAATGTCACCAAATCATGTGTACAGTTCTAGGTACTAATGTACACTGTGAAGATTTGGTACAGAAAGCTCAAAACCAAAGACTATCATATTCAAGAAACAGAGCAGCCTACTGAAGTTGATGAGGATTGCTTGCGAGAACTTGTAGAAGCAGATCAGTATGGAACAACTTGAGAGCTTACTAAGAAATTAGACGTTAGTTAGTACCATGTCTATTAGTCGCGCTATGCATCGCATAAACTTGACGTACAAGTTCAATCGCTGGATGCCGCATGAGCTGATTGATTCAAGAAGATAAGGATAGACGTAGGGGCTGCACTAATCTGCTCGAATATATCAACGCAAGGACAAAATTCTGGACCGGATTTGTGATGAAAAGTGGATTTACTTCAACACAGGCCGAAAACAGTTAATCTGCGCCTGTGAGCCCGTCGGAAGCGTCGCAAAGTGCATTTTGACTAACAAGATCATGCTTTGCAGGGATTGCCGTCGTATTATCCACAAAGAGTATCTGAAAAAAAGGTAAAACCCTCGACAGTAAGGGTGCACAGCGAGATGCTAGTCCGTGTTGAAGCTGCTATCAAGGAAAAACGTCGAACTGAGTTCCGGCGCAAAAAGGTAATATTCCATCAAGATAATGCAAGACCACATCTGTCTGCATTCACTAGATGGACTCTGTACGGACTCGAATGGGATCTTTTGACACACCAACCATATAACTCCGACATCGCACCTTCGGACTTCTACCTTTTTTCACACCTGCAGCTACATCTTGTTGGTGCCATCTTCCAGTCTGCATAGGACATCCGAAACGAGGTTGATTTCTTTTCGGACTCGCGGCCACTAAGTTTCTAGGTCCCGAAGGCTCTGAAAAGCTACCAAAACGTTGGAAGAAAAATCATAGATTTGGGTGGTGATTACTATCCGCGCTAAAGGTACTGCTTTATATTTTTTTCCTAACTTTATTAGGAGCTTATTATTTTTAGCAGAAAACTTTCGTTACAACCAGATAATTTCCATCTTCCCTTCTTTCATTGTAGATTGTTTAGGTCGTGAAATGATTATTTGCAGTTGTGGCATAGCGGATGATTATTTCAATTTTTAGCACGATTTTAAATACAGAACATTAACCCTTTGTCTTCTGCAGTAAAAAACTGAGTTAAATCAAGAATTTTACTTATTATTAAAAGTTTGAGTACTTTATTGTTAGTCTCGAAACTTTATTGCTTTATTTTCATATTTTTATTTTTCACGGGTGTATTTATTTACAGTTCGAACTCCGGTCATCTATCATTTTAGAGCTCGTAGCGGAATTCTGATACGTTTCTTAGGCAGATTTAATATGCGAGATGGGGTTGTAGGATTTTGGGAATTTTGTTATATAACGGAAGCTTTCGCAACAATTGGCTATTGGCGCAAATTATGGTACGATTTCGGATGTGAGTACTGCAAGTAGCTGTAGCAAGAAACGCAGGAGAAAAAGGGTTTTAAAGCAATAAATGGAAGAAATATAGGAGAAATGTTCATGCCATGATCATAAGGAATCGACACTGAAGAAACTAGAATTTATCGCGATTCCGAACAAAGAAGCATTAGAATTTTGTAACGGAGTGGAAGATGTCCAACAAGATTTTTCTATGAACACTTTAAATGAAACATTTTCTTTTGCAGCAAGTTAACCGATTGCAGATTCCAGTTAGATCCTCGCATGGAAAGTGTACTAAAGTTTGAAAGAGACATTTAAATTAATTGCAGCCTCTTGAAGAGCTATGAAAACATTGTTTCAAAACGAGGAAATGAATCTCAATAATACAGTTTGTTTCATTCGTCAACAAGCTATATATTTATTCATACAGAATTATTTTTCATTTCTCAAGAATTCATATGAAATAAACAACGCAATTGATAACAAATATTATTATATGTGTTCACCGGCTGGGAGTGCTGGTACTTTGTGTTGGCGAACTCTGGTCGACTTAAGGATATCGAAAGTTTATGTACTTTTGCAGCGATCTGGTTTGGTTTATTTAATTACGGCAAAGCACACACGAGGAAAATAAAAAAAGGTCCATGCAACTACCCGCCGGAATTCGAGCCCCGGACCGAATTACCAGTATGCAGCAACTTTACCGCTCTGCCACTGGTGGGTTGCAGTGATCTAAGACTTTGGAAATTAACTAATTGTACAAAAATATATTTTGCTTTTCTTCTTTCGATTAAGAATATAACCCCCCCCCCCAAAAAAAAAAAGAAAAAAGAAAAAAAGAATCTGAAAGGCTTCAGATTTTAAATTACGTCCAAATGGGCGTTTTTTTATCATTTTGTGTGTTACCTTTATTTACGAAATATCATGTTCTTTGCACTTAAACGATAAATTTCAGTTCATTAGCAATGTCGCAAAATAATTTTAAAATGAGCATAGCTTTAGAATTTCCGACACACAGTTCCGTGCGCCGGAGATAAAAAGGTTAACCCCCCGTAGAGTGTTGCCATTGCTCGCTCTTAAATCGTTGAGTTTATTAATCAAAAATACGTTAAAGTTTTACAAAATATGAAATTGATAATAAAACCAATTTCAAAGTCAAATTAGGGCTTCCACATGTTCATATTCTATGGAAGATTTAAGTTATTCAAAATTTAATAGCTATAGGTACTGTTGTTTTATCGCAATGCGAGAAACAAAGATGCATTCGTGCAGATTCTTCATGATTTAAATTATTTAAATATAAGACATGGCGATAATATTTGGTGGCAACAATCTGAAAAGTGAACTAACGCTAATTGTGGTTCGACGCAAAATGCCAAAAGGAAATTCATAGTTCTTCAGGGCAAATTGCCCTTTTGGACTAAAAATTCAAGTCGCAAGTTTTCTACGAAATTTGAATACAAAGTCATAGAAAAAGAATGGCGTGATTGTAAAAATCATTATCCTCAGAACTTTCAAACACGTTTGAAATTATCTTATGCTTTACCATATGGAACTGCCAAAAGCTTTAACGTAACCTAGCATTGGGCAAAATCCTTAATTTTTAGATGCTGCTGTCTTTTTCTAGTGGACTATTTTCTATGGGGATGCACCTAAAATACCGAAAACAGCAGAAAGATTCGATAACTATGGCAAATAACAGCAGCAGCCACTGAATTGTAATTCCATAATTCCAGCGAATTTAACTAGTGACCTTAGGTATGGAAAATTTTTATTTTGTAGAAGGTTGTTCTCTTCCATTGAGGCTTTCAAATATCGAAATCTGCTAATGTAAGGCAAAAACATTGGACATTTTTTTCATATTTTAACATCTAAAATCATTTCTATGACATTACATTAAGCAAGTCTGGGCAATTGCCGGAGGTTGCCTAGCTTGCTACACCCCCAAAATAGACTAAGAACTGAAAACAAACGATGTGCCAATTATCGATAAATGTAGAACAACAAATGCATTACTATTCTGTATTCCACAATTGCGGAGAATTATCTCTAAAGAAAGTATTTTATATTTTAAGTATCACAAACTTTTATTGAAAGTGTACTTAAGATACTCAAACCAACCAAAGGACAGCTCGTACCATCTTTTGATTACAGCAATTTATGCAAAAACAAAAATAGAGGTAGACTCACCTTTATTTTGGAATATTTCATGTTTCCCTTTGGATCAGTGGCTTCCCTGTATCCTTGAGAAGGATCTCTTGTAAGGAAATACGGTACCTGAGCCAAGGCCACCTCGGACACGCTGCTGAAGTAGCCCGCCGTGTGGCCATCATCTGTGATTACTGCTAACCATCCTGCAGAAAGGAGAAAATTACCTATTAGCACACGAACAAACGAAAGACTATTACAGATACAATATTAATAAAGATGTAAAAATTCTCAAGTACATTTAAATTACAAATAACAAACAGTATACTTCCATTTATTTTTTTACTCCAATAAAAGTACTCCAAGAAGATACATATAGCATTTTACGAAACCATAATGATAAGCGTCAAAATTTCAGACCTAAATAGTTATCATACAGAAAAAATATGTAAGCTAAAACCTCAACAATTATTAAAATCTAATTTTATACAAAGCAGCATAAAAAAAAATGTGTACACCCTTCAAATGATTATAAAGTCAGTGCTGATTATCACATGGTTCATTTTCAAAATTTAAGAGATCTTTTAGAAATGGGCAATATTTTGTCAACGATTCGTCGATGCTTCCATCAATATTTCCATCGATTTTTAACCAACTTCTTGATAAACTATCGAGTTAAAATTTTATATACACTCTATTTGTAAATGATAATAATGTAGTCAACCGATCTTAATTTTGTAAAAAGGGTTATTTAATCTCTTGTTCCCATTAAACTATATAATAAATTATTTTTCTACTTAGTTCTATGAGATTTAAATAAAGGTTTTTTTTTATAAAAACCTTCAAACTTTTACATTATTATTTAATTATAGGAATAGATCTCGTTACATTCTAAAAGAATATTGGAATAAAACATCTGATGACTATCCCAGTTTTAGATGATTTCGATCAATTATAGAAGGTGCTACCTTGGAAAAATATCGTTATTTAATTATGTCATCTCAAATTGTTCATTTTTAGAGCGTTCATGTTTAGGTTGCTGTCGTGAGATTTATTTAGTTTATTACGACAAAGCACACTTGGGTTATCTGCGTAACGGGAGGAATACCTTCGTGAAGATCTGATATTTTATAACTACAGTACCTAAGTAACTAAGCTATAACATCTTGTAATGTGTGCTGTGTATTTATAGAGCCGTCCTCATTCAAATCGATGATTGTGTTAAAAATTAAAGAAGTTCTAAACTCGATTAGGTTAAATTTTCATCTTACAAGCGATTTATTTAGTTTAAATCCTAATCTTGTAATTTAATCCCAGCATCTTTATGAAAATAAATTCAATGAATGCAACTTTCTGTAAAGTACCGCCACCTTTATATCAACACAATCTTGTGACTTGGCATAAAGATGCCAGCACTCTTATTCGAGGACGCAGAGTATCAAGGCAAAAGTGCCGGCACACCGTGTTAAGGAACACTGGCTGACCGCTTAAGGTTATCGAAAACATTATGTACTTTCGAATGCTGGATAGTCGCAAGAGACTGCAACTTCAGCTAATAGTTACACTAGTCAGTAAGAAAACGTAGAATTTCTGCAATTTGTAGTCTTCTTAATTTCAGGCGACACAGCGGCCGATTGGGGAAGTCGCTGAACACTAGTAGTACGGTCCGCTGCTCGAATCTTGGCGAAAAAGGGTGGCTGCATGAGCGTTTTCGTGGTTTTTCCTCGTACAACATGTATATGAGCTAGTTTCTTTTAGAAAGTCCTCAACAGAGGAAATTTCTCTTCTTAGACAAAAAGGCCTTCAAAGGCTTTGTCATAATGAAATAAATCAAACCCTTCATTTCAATATAAAAATTTGCTCAAGTTTATCTTGGTACTTGAACACAAAACTAGTCCAAAATGTTTATTTTTGTAAAACGCGACTTTCTATCTTTTTTTTCAAAAAGTGGTAAGTTCATTTCCGTTTGCGAATTTTAAATGAAAGCTCAATAACAAATGTATTGCTACCTTGAGCAACCGATTTCTCTTTATATTTATACAAGATTTGAGCCGAAATCTATAGTTTTATCACCAAACTGAATCAAACTCTGAAACTTTTATAAGCAGATAATGATGACAAATACTAAATTATAATTCTAATTATTTTTTTTAATTATTGAAGTAATAAGACACGTATTATTTAGCCCTTTTTTCCAACTATGCGTATAATTGGGAACCAAAAAATTTTATTATATTACAGATTACATCTTTCACTCATTTTTTTACTGTTAAGTAACAAAATGATAAGTGAGTAAAAAAGGAATATATTTGTGAAGTTTTAATATTGTCTCAATGTTCTAACACTAAAACATCAGAAGCACACACCTGCACGTCAAATCTTTTCCTGGTAGTTTACAGCTGAATACTATCTCCTAATTTGCCAATCACAAACGGCATGGAAAATTATAATATATAAAGAAATACAATTACTAAGTAGCTCTTTAGAACTATAATAACCCCTCTTCATCATTGTCAGCTTGGTATTCAAACATTTAATTCAACTCAAGAAGAGACCTCAAAGAAAATGCCGCCTTATCAAATCGTTTGTTTTAATCTTACTTCTTTAAGCTTAATATCCCAACTATGTACTGCATCATGGTCACATGATCTCGACCTGGGCAACAATGGACTCTGATCTCCCCTTATGATCGGTTCGAGGAAAATCATTTTCGAGCATGATTAATACTTGTTTCGATATTTTTTTCTCTCTATGAGGCAACTTCTTATAGTTGATGGACGGCAAACTGCAAGGAAAGAAAAATCGACTTGAACTTGCTTGGGGGTGGACGAACTTTATCTCTCGCTTGTTGTCGTCTGAGCCGGTACTCGACCTCCAAAGAAACGGTCAGGGTTTTACCAGCTCTACTTTTTGTTACAGGAATATAAAAATATCAGACAGTTCTGCACTTCTTGGTAAAAAAAGCAAAAAGAACGATTACGAAGGAATTATGGAGAGGAAAGCCCTGAAATTTGAGTGATATTAAAATTAGAAGTATTCGCTTGTATTGGGTTTCTGTGTGTATTTATTATTCATTAAAAAGCAATTTGCCACTCGGAGCGTTAATATTTTGATAATGCACATTATATTTAAAAGAATACAAGCTTTACAGTAATATTGGTCTTAACTATTTTATTAACATCCCACTGCAAATTTCGAGAAAATTTAGCCCTAGTTTGGCACTGAATTTATGGAAAACTCTCCATTTCGATGGAGTCAGGTTACGAGGTACAAGAAAATCACTCTGGGCTGTGGATGATCGAAGGTTTAACTATACCATTCTAGTTTCTAGGCATACTATTCTTTCAGAGACGTAGACTAACGTGCGCAGAACGGCTGTTGGACCAGACTATGCCAGTCTAGGTTCTAGACAAAGTTTTCTTTCAGTGACGTAATACAACTGTAGCGCCTGACTATAGAAGTCTAGGTCTTAGGCATAGTATTATTTCAATGACGTAAAATTACTGTAGGGATCAACTGTGCCAGTGTAGTATCTATACATAGTTCTTTCAAGGGCTTCCAATACTTAGGTTTAGAAGTCAAAAACAGAATTACGAAAAAGAAACCTCCGAAAATCCGAGGTCGCAAGCTCTTGGACGTCTAGGCAGTAATCAGGCTTTGTCTGATAGCACAAAATTAGGTCAGAATATTTTTACTGTTGAGAAAGAGGAAGGGAAAAATATGCATACCAGTTTGAGAATTCAACTTAAAATCAATCAAAAAGAAGAAATTCCTAGCAGGTTAGTTAGTGATTCAGTGTGGCTGAACTAGTTCATTATCAAAAATGTTCCTAAAAGAATTTTCTTTCAATACAAATTAATACTATAAGGGGGATAACTAAGTTGTAGGATGTTCAACAAAAGTTTCAACGTACAGGTGCGATATTTTCCTTAGACTCGAATCTGGCTCTGGCTACTTAAAGAATACGTCCATCAGAAATAAAGTAACTGCTATTTTATTTCAGTTCCACCGAATTCTAGAGCGCATCGCAATTTTAAATAGCAAAACAGAATTCATTAACCAATACCCCCACCTATATTTCACAGACCTCATCATCGACAGAATCATCTATTCCGCATACTAGACAACAAAGTCACTAAATCATCTTAAATTCTATGAATCGTCTTAGCCAGTATTCACGAGTCCCATAACTATGTGCTAAATTATACGACATTTTTTAAACATATGTACATTGCTTTCTAATCTAAGCATCATTGCAAAATAATAAGTAAACCTTTCTTATTATTTTATCATTAGCTAAAACTTCATTTTAATGCATTAATTTTTTTATACATAATTTTTACGAATAATGTGATGTCACGAAATTCACTACTGTTTAGTAGCAAAGTAATTTATTCAATATTTAATCTACAGGAGTAAATTATTTGATTATAGCAAACAGTACTAGGGCTATTTGCCGATGAGAAAGATAAATTAGCACTATTAAATCTAAGGCACGCTGAAACCATGAAATCTATTTCTAAATGATGAAAGATTAAATAAATGGAAAGTCCTTTGGTATTTTCGAAACTGTTACTAGTTTCATTCCATTAAATATGTGTACCTAAAAATTAAGGATTCTAGATCCCATTTTTGAAATGATGATGTCCCATTAAAATGTAGAAAATCGTAAAATTTTAACTATAACTCTTAAAACTCTGCAATTTCCATAAAAAAGTCAAACGGGAATTGAATGTAAAATACCATTAACTTCGCATTCGCAACAATAATGAGTTATTCTTTATAGTAACACACAGCTTAAGTCATTACGAAATCTGCAGTTAAAGCTAGCCTTTATTTTCTTCATAAATACTAGCTCAGACAAAAAGACAATAGCAGAAAAGATAAACAGATTCACGAAGAGTTAATGCATTAAAAACATTTTATTACCTAACGTTTGGGATGACATCCAATTTAAACCTATGTCACGGAAGGCACCTCTTCAGCTTCTCACGAACGTTAGTATTTAATGTAAAGACGAAGAAATTAAGATTTTATTCTTGTACTCAAATGACGAATCCCGAAAAACAGTTTGACCTTCACGCTACAAGAAATAATGAGGGTCTACCGTTTAAATTCCCATAAGCGAATGGTCAAAAACAATAAAACAAAGCAGACAGGAGCAACAAAAAGTAAACGGAAACAAAATTACGCAAAAAAGATTTAA